TGCGCTTTACACAATTGATGTGTGTATGGATTGCGATAACAGTTGTATGAGCCCCTAATAAAATGTTTAAAAAAAAAAGTTAAAAAAAAGAAAAAAAAGGAAAAAAAAAAGACCTAGAGGAATGCTGTGTGTTTCACTGGTGTTTTACTGCTCCCTGGCTTCCTTTGGACCCTTCCATGAGGGTGGAAGGCGTTGTTTTCATTGCTACACAATTCCATATGTATGGACGCTTTTCTATATACCCGTAAATACTCGAGTATAAGCTGAACCGAGTATCAGCCGAGGCACTGAACTTTACCACAAAAAACGGCATTAAAAATGTACTGAAAAACTCGGCTTATACATGAGTACATACGGTAGTTAATGTATAATTTCCTATAAACTCTCAAAACCAAACTCACTGCCATCGAATTGATGTGGCTATACAGCCACCCAACAGGACAGGGTAGAACTGCCCCTGTGGGTTTCAGAGATGGGAGTAGAAAGCCTCAACTTTCTCCTGAGGAGTGGCTGGTAGTTTGAAACGACAGCCCAACACGGAACCACTAGTTTCCCAAAGTCTACCAAAACGGGGTAGGTGGCAGAAAAAGCACAGACGTTCAGACCTATGCCTGACCCTCTGGAGATGGGGCTGTCCAGGAATCCTGCTGCTGCCCCAACCCAACAAACGAAGATTCAGCTCGAACATGGTCCTCCACAGGATACAACGACGTTTGAGACCGCTTGGCCCTGCTACAAAGGAATGGCTTTGGTAGAGACCTTGGACACTTGAGCTTTACTAGCGACTCAGCGGTTTCAGAAGCTATACTTACACAATTTCAGCACTGTCTTCACAGAAGTCAATGTGTAATGTGACTGGGTTTATGCAAAACAGTCCAAATTTTTTCGCTCTGTAGGGAAGCTGCATGAACTTTTCCACTGCAACCCGGATGCTTAGCAGGGAAACAGAAATATTCAATTATAAGGGGAGGGGGGAGGAAGTACAGAGTATTTATCTTTAAAGCACATTTATATAGCCAAGGTACTTAAAATAAAACAAAGCACACACGCAGAAAAAAAATCATGTTTCCAACATAACTTCCAACAAGAAGTACTTGGACGCATTTGCTCACGGGAATAAAATGGGTCTTGGAGAGTGGGGGAAAAAAATCTCACTTTCTATGTACAAAACATGTACACACAGACACAGTAGAGTCTAGGAGGCTCAGTGGTTAAAGTGCTCATCTGCCAACCAAAAAGTCAACGGTTGCAACCCACCAGCTAATATGTGGGGGAGATGTGATAGTTTGTTTCAGTAAGATCGGAGCCTCAGAAACTCTGCCCTGACAGTTCTACTCGCCCACAGGGCCCCGATCAACTCCACGAGTGGGCATATCCAGAGTCCGCAAAGCGATAGGCAGTGCCTGTGAGGTCTGTAAAACTGCATGGTACGGTGGGAAAATGCCGACCAAGGCTCTTGACAAAATGAAACTCCCTCACATTGAGTCGACCTGCCCCTGTGCGTTTCTGAGACTGTCTATTTTATGGGAGCTGACAGCCTCATCTTTCCCAGGCAGAGCTGCTGGCAGCTTTAAACCGTCAATCTATGGTTAGCAGGTCAATGTCTAGCCCCCATTGTCACCAAGGGGGAATGATAACAATAAAATTGCAAAAGACAGAAAAACAGTGAATAAGCAACAGCCCTATGGACACATTTTATTAAATGCTTTAGTATTAATTCTAGTTATGACCAGAATTACCTCAAAATTTCTGCAAATGAGGTGTTATAATTAGTACTTGCCAACTTTGCACAAAAGAATTGAAGGACTGAGAATTAGTAAGTAACTTAGCATTTTTATTTCCATTCTTCTCTCAGACAAATGACAAACCACTTGGACACACCACTTTACTATATACCGGGCCTTTTCCCTGGGCCCCGATTTATGCCCTGTGTGGCAGCCTGGCCACCCTTTGTCTTAGCTTAGAGACAGGTGGCAGCATGAATGGCTCCCTGGGTTCTATTTAATCACAAGAGTCTCTTGCCTAAAACAAGCAACACTTGAAACACCAAACACTGAAACAAAAAATTCATACAACAGTTTAACACACTGATTGTACAGCAACTGTGATTATAAAAGAAAATCACAAAGACAAGCACCAACTTTTTTCTTAAATAAATTTATGCAAATTTTCAACATTGGATAAGTCGCTCTGTCATGGAATTCTTTGAGACAAAGTTCTTCGTGCAATAGGAGTCGGCTTGGGATTGCCCTCCCTTTAAGAAGAGATGGGTCCTCGTGCTATGGTGAACCTGTGGGACGGAAGACTGGAAAACACTAGCCCGACACCCAAGTGGACTATGCCGTGTGGTTCTGACCTGAGTACCAGTCCTCTCTGAACCTGCTCCCCCCCTTGTGCTGTTGCCCCGGGAGCTATGCTCATGTGAGACCAGGACGAGCAGGCAGCGCCTTTCAATACACACGCTGCTACCTGCAGGCGTGAGAAGGGTGTCTCCGAGGTGCCTGCTTGTGTCTTTCCGATAGCCGAGCTTCCCTGACCAGGCCGACCCACCAGTCAGCGAACCAGTCCAGAGAGCAGGTTGGCCAAAAGTCTTCGGAACGTGAACAGGCTGGCAGAGGAAAGGCCAGAGAGCTCTGAATCCTAAGCACCCCCACTCCCTGCCCCACCAGTGGGTGCAGAACCAGAACCTGCCAGGGCTGCCTTCGTGAGAGACATAAATCCAGCTTCAGTTTTCCCTAAAAGGCCCATTCTCAGCAAGGCCTCTGTGACTCAACCCTTCGAACATGGACAGATTCTCCGCGACAACCGACTGTCGTCCCTGTGAGAGAATGCAAGGCAAAATACACACATACATACTTTTTAGACTTGACTGGAATGTACTTGGCAAAATCCACAAGGAAACACTCTGCCAGGCAGTGGCCGGCCGAAGACATGATGGACTTAATCACCGCCCTGCACCAGCACTTGAGCTCCTGGCAGTACACCACGCAAACCTGTGGGGAAACGGACAGGCATTCTGTCTCCCACGTATTAGGGTCTCGAGTCAGAGAGAGCGCGCCGAGGTCCTCCACGTGATCGCCTCAGCCTGCACGGCACCCTAGAGAGGGGTTGGACAGGGCTTCTCAGGCGAGGAACCTAAGAAGCTGGCCTTCTAACGCAGCTGTTCTTTCCAAAAAGTTTTTGGCCCCTCAATTAAGGGCCATTTTTATAGAGTGAAATGAGAAAAGTTTATTTCTTTACCTGCTTAAATCAAAGAAACAAAACCTATAAAGGTTGCCAAACACGGGGAGCTGTAGCCTCAGGCCTATTCTCCCTGCCCACCTCCCCATGCCCTCTACCAGCCTCACCCATTCATGTCTCTGGGCTGCAACTGGATGTGTCGGCTCCCGGACTGTGGATTTTTGTCTGTTTTGTTTAACAGTCCCATCACCTAGAGCAGTGTTAATATGCCTATCACCACCATTCTGGGGGAGGATATACAAATGAGGCATCCTGACTATACCAGGGGCTGCTGCATCCCCCACAAGCCAGCCATGTGCTGAGCACAGGCCCAGACAGCAGCCAGTGTGGAGAGCTGGGTCCAAGTGGCGAAGCAGCAGGCTGACGGAGGTCCCTGCCCTCAGAAACGTAAGCAGGAATGTATGGGGCAGTCATTCTGCGAAGGATGGAAACTCAAGGCGCTCACATAACTCGAATACTCAAAACCTCAAATAATTCAAGAGAAATTCCCATAAAGCTAAAGGGCACTTCTGTTTAATGCTAAAGTCACAGGACCTAGCAGGACTGCTAGGAAGAATTCATCATGGGCATGGCTATTCAACTTTAAAACTGTTATACTAGGGCATCCACCAGCCCCAAATGAGACAATTTGACAAACCAAAGTACAATGACTACAACTGATGAATATATTAGGAGCCATACGTTCAAAACATCATAATTTTTATTTCTTTTTAAGGAGCGGAGAGAGAAGAAAAAACGAAAACAGAAGCACTGGACATCAGTGACTATTACACTGGAAACTGCTAAGTGACAGAATCAAAAGATTGCTCCGCCTTTCCAGTATGAATGCATTACACAGGTAACCAGATCATTTAATGAGTGAAGAAACGTTCTATACAGAATTCCCGCTAATGAATGCGGAGGGATGAGAAAACACATCATTTTATAACCCTGAAAGAGCAGAGCTGACTTGGACAGTAGTGGTCACCGAAGGTGAAAACCACGAAAAGCTCATGGACCGAGCTTTCCTCGTCTGAACTCGCTGGTTATTATCAAAAGTGTCTCTTGAGTCGGTAAAACATGAAGTTAACAGCACCACCCGCTCCTGGATAAAAAAGTGATCCTCAATCTTACTGAAGCTCCATGTCACCCTCTGTCCAAAGAAAGTAGAATGAATTTTGTAGAGGAGAGGCAAGTTTATTTCTAGTTTTCTTCACAGAGAGCTTCAAACTTTCTATAACACTATCACAGAAATTCAAACTCCTCTGAAAAATGACTGAACTGTAGGAAAAAAATCAGGCAAGAGGCAGAGATAGCGGAGGCCGGAGGGAAAGAAGGTGGGTGCTGACGCGGGAGGAGCGAAATAAAAAAACATGACAGCATCCGTCCTAGACGGAAGACCCCACGTCTCTTAGCTGAGGTCCCCACAGCTGCACGGGCTCTCACAATCCCCGTGAGCCTGGCTCCAGAGGACGACTTGCAAGGAGAATCCATCTTACCGCCCCACATAAACCTGACACAGCAGCCGCCACGATGGCCAGAAACCCTCACACAGGCAATGGTCATTAGCAATTGAAGCACTCTAAATGCTTCCACTTATTTCCTTATTTGCCAAAAGAGTTCTGAATAGTGTTTTTTAAAAACAGTGCTCAGAGCCCATTTACATACATACCTGTCCTTCTTCTAACAGTAACGGTTTTATTTCTCCATCTTGACACATGCTGTTATAGAAGCCATTCATGGCATGGTGTAATTTTTTATAGTCAACTTCATCATCTAAAAAGGAATTATATCCTTTTATAATAACCCAGAAGCAAGTTGGATCTTCAATCTGTAAAATTTAAAAACAAAAAACAAAACAATGTACAACTGAAAGCCAGAAAATACAAACCCTAAGATGTATGATACTTGTTTGTTGCTATTTTCATTGCTCTAACACATTCTTGACAGGTGCCTCTGTCTTAAGTGATCAGATCAAAGATTAAAAATCAATGATAAAATATGAAAACATGTTTGGGGACCCAAAGCCTATCTGTAGGCAACTAGACATCCCTTACCAAATAGTTGTGGGGAGGAGATGAGCCAGTGAGGGTGCAGTGTAGCAATGATGAAACATACAACTTTCCTCTAGTTCTTAAATGCTTCCTCCCCTCCCCGCCTCCCCACAATCATGATCCCAATTCTACCTTACAAATCCGGCCAAACCAGAGGCTATACACTGGTACAGATAGAAACTGGAAACACAGGGAATCTAGGACAGATGATCCCTTCAAGACCAGTGGTGTGAGTGACGATACTGGGAGGGCGGAGGGAAGGTGAGGTAGAGAGGGGGAGTCGATTATAAGGATCTACATATAACCTCCTACCTGGGAGACAGACAACAGAAAGGAGGGTGAAAGGAGACGTCGGACAGTGTAAGATATGACAAAATAATAATTTATAAATTATCAGGGGTACATGAGGGAGAGGGGAGCGGGGAGGAAGGGGAATAAATGAGGAGCTGATACCAAGGGCTCAAGTAGAAAGCAAACGTTTTGAGAATGATGAGGGCAACAAATGTGCTTGACACATGAATGTATGTATAGATTGTGATGAGTTGTACGAGCCCCCAATAAAATGATTATTTAAAAAAATATGAAAACATGTAAAGCAATATCCTCAATCACACACACGGTAACCATAATTAGATAGAAAACCAGAGTTCTGAATAATATCTTTAGAATCGTGGAGTTTGTAAGCAAAGGAAATATGAGTCACAGTAAAAAAATTTAAAAGATGGCAGATAAACCAAAAGAAATACAAGTTATTACCTACAGGAGAAAGAAGAAATGGGTAAGAAGCGGCAAAGATTAAAGTTAGCCATCTCAGAGTATCTTGATGGGTATATATATATATATATATATATCGCATGTGTGTGCACATACACACATCTATGTGCATGCACTTATGTGCACAGATGCATCTACGCAGAGCCACTCCACAGGAGAAGTAACTGCAGCCTAGAAGCCCTATGCGCAGCTCCACTCTGTCATTAGGCCGCAGAGCTGGAAAGCTGACTCAGCACCGCCCGACATACTCACATAACACAGACATACACAGAGCGAGCCTTCCACTACTGTCAATTCTGACTCACCGGGCTCTGTGGGACAGCGCAGAACTGCTACATAACATTCCGAAGGCAGTTGGTGGGCTTACAATGCCAACCTTCTGGTTAGTAGCCAAGCACTTAAACTCTGTGCCACCAGGGTTCATTTATATATTTGTTATAAATTAGTATTATTAAGAACTAAGCTTTTCTTTTTTTCTTTTCTTTCCATTTTTCTTTCTTTCTTTTTTTTTTTTTT